ATATTAACTAAAGCTCTGAAAGGGAAACCTTCTTTACAGGAATGATCAAAATCTTAAGGATTTTAAATAATTAAATGAGAAAAAGAAATTTGTAATAATTATAAAATTCGATGACGAAAGTGTCATCGATCGCGTTCCTAAGTTTGAAATATCATTGATGGTGAGAGAAGAGTGTAAAAGAATAACATTGAAGCTAATTTGAATTGTGTGGATTTTCTGCTTGAATCTGTTGTAATTGTCTGGGATTGCGAGCCAAGATTTTGGTTCGCACAAAGAACACCACTGTTTATGTACAATTGTTTCTCTTCATAGAACTTCATTTCATTGATTTACAGTCGAGATGATGGGCAATGAATGGGGTGGGGATGACCATGATTGTGTTATGCCACATAGTGATGGTGACAGCAGTGGTAGTGTTTGTGAGACTGATTAATAATGATAATAGTGGTGATGGTGGTGAACATGATGATTGTAATGATGATGATGATAATAGAGTGAACATCATATTTATAAATATACAACAACAACAAATAGGTTTAAACAAGGCCAACCAAAACATTAATATTTTACAGCTGATTTGGACTGATAGTCTAGTGCCAGGAGATTGAGTGGGAGTATGTCAGAGCTATTCTCCTCTATTCGAATAATGCACATCCTTTGTGTTTCAAAAGGTCTTTTTATATATTAATTTGAATCAAATAAAATAAACTTAATTAAGAGTTTTCTCCAGGATTCCGACTTAAAGGGACTTGATAACATTGTTCAGATGAGAGATAGTGGTGATAAGGTAGTGACTTCAATGCTAGATGTACAATTAAAGATAATCTGAAAATTTGAGTGAAAACGGACCATTATTCATGGTACAAATTGGGAAAAACTGATCTGATCGATTCCTTAATTCTCCCAACTATATTATTACAATTCAATTACATTTTAGGTGAATGGAAATCTCACAAAGCAATAAAAATGGCTCTACATTCCATTCCAGACATTTAAGTGTTGACAGATTTGTGTATTGCCTGTTTTATGTCTTTTTTTCATGGAAAAACGGTTGGGAAAATTCAAAAATGGTTGGGAGAATTTACTGTTAAACACTGTTAGAGGGTGTCGTAGAAAGAAAAGAAAACCATAGATATCTTCGTGGTTTGAAAAGATTTTCAGGATTTTTTTCATGTCAAAGGGTTAGTACAGTAGAAGGAATATAGTAAGTAACATTTTAAACAAAAATTAAGCAATTTTTTCATCAACCTTCAACAATGTTTAATACCAAGTCACTTTAAAAAGAAGGTAGAAAACATACTCATTTAATCTATCAAACGTCTATATTATATGATAGTATTTATTTACCAGTTAACAACATACAAGTGTACAATGTATCAGTGGCGAGTCAAGGGGGGACGCATTTTAATAATCCGGCTGCCCCCCCCCCCCCCCAATTTCTCAAATTTGCAGACTGCGCCCCCAGTATTTTCAAATCCTCGATCTACCACTGATGTATAAGAATATTTACAGCACGGTTATAGCAGAACATGATAATGCAAGTTAGAATAAATCACATTGATTTTATGGAAGCCCTCTCCACTTCTATGACGTAACGATTAACACGTATTTATTGATAATAGTTTAGTTATTTGATATTTTAACTTATGTAACTTATGTATTTATTCATTACTATTTTATTATGTATATTTGATTTAAATTATATTTTTGTACCCAAGACAGTTGTCAGTCTTTGGACTGTTTGCTCTTGGTTTTTGATGTTTTGATTTCAATAAAATCCTATATATATATGTACACTGTTCTTTTCACTTCATATTTTTTTCAAATTTTTTGGAAATTACAGCTAGTAGTAGTAGACGAACCTTGTCAGGCAGACAAAATAGGCCTATAAACTAAAAAAAACCAAAACTATAGGTTTTCATCTACAATATTTTACTAACTAGTGTCACTAAGAGCTTTAATATGATATATAGATGACCAATATCGGACCTCTAAGTAGCCCACAAAGAGTCTGTAAATAAACATTTGCAACGTCGTCTGCTATCAAGGGGGCGACCTCGTTTACACAGTCACATGACAGTGTCACGTGACACCGTCAAAAATCACATAGAACACACGAACACATTAAAGAAAAGGTTAAGTTCTGGGAAGAGGTGAAAAATAATTTGTGAGCATTACTCATTCTTATTATGCAAGTGTGGAAAAACATCAGTTAAGACATGTTCCCTGAAAAGCATGGCTCTTCAAATGCCTTCATATTCTAAATATGCATGTAGCATCGTAAAAATCGGGGGCCGGCTTTTTACGCCACGTGTTCGTGTAGTCCCATATACATCTTTCTGTGCAAGTGTTTGTAACTTTACCAAGACTTGGCCACATTTCTTATCATTTTGATGATTCCAGAACCTTGCAATACACACAAATTCTTATATGCTAGATGATCAACCTTTTCTGGTCGGTTCCACACCGTTTCTTTCACGATGCAATCGCATGACCAGAACTCAACTTCATCTTTAAACAGTGCACCCCTTCCTTACACACAGACATAGTACGATACAGGACAGTTCGTACCGTTCGGTTTCGAGAGTGGTCTTTGACCAAGTCGCTCTGCGGAATAAAATTGGCCAATGTGACGCGTTAGTGGTACGGAAAAAATAATCGCCTGCGGGACACAGACAGTAGGCGTTGTCCAATGAGACTAATCGCAGCTATATGAGCATTGATGTACGAATGAACTTACTGTAATCATGAACCTATTACGGATGGACATTCAACGTGATTCTTTCTTTGATCCTATCATCGTCACCGCCTTCTGATTATGTGCATCTTAACACTGAGAACATTCAGGTGTTTTAACAATAACGTCTGCGTAACCCAGGTCGGAATTCCAGTTGAAACCAGTAGGCAACTGGTACCAGTTAAAACCAGTAAGTCAACTGGTACTTACTTAATATGGAAATTGAAACAACGCTAACTGAGACCAGTTGATTTACCAGTTGAATTTGAATTTACCAGTTGAATTACCAGTTGATTTACCAGTTGATTTACCAGTTGATTTACCAGTTGAATTTCCAGTTGAATTACCAGTTGATTTACCAGTTGATTTACCAGTTGATTTACCAGTTGAATTTCCAGTTGAATTACCAGTTGATTTTTCAGATGATTATCCAGTAATCAATCAACTGATAATCAATAATTATTATTAGCATCTGGCCACCAACTTGACCACATATACTAACTATTGCAATTACCCCCATCACAATGATCATTTGAAGTAGATTACAGATGTGTATTGTGTGATTTGACATACATTGTTCGTGCATACATATATACAAATTTATACACTTTATTTCTGGTTAGTAATTACATATATATCAATATATCTCATTTTACGTCTTAAATCAGATAAAAAACATGATCAGACATGTGTAATATATTTGTCAATAATTAACTAAGAAAATCTAAATCACAAAATGTATGTGCATTGTCACATTTGCTTGAAAGATCATGATAATTATATTTTCTGTGAAAAAATGCAAATCATGAATATTCATAAGATACATTGAACTGGTTTTTCAACTGGTAAATCAACTGGTAATTATCTACTGGTTTTCAACTGGTAAATCAACTGGTAATCTTACTGGTTTTCAACTGGTAAATCAACTAGTAATCATCTACTGGTTTTCAACTGGTACTCATCTACTGGTTTTCAACTGGTAATCATCTACTGGTTTTCAACTGGAATCAACTGGTAATCATCTACTGGTTTTCAACTGGTAAATCAACTGGTGATCATCTACTGGTTTTCAACTGTAAATCAACTGGTAACCATACTGGTTTTCAAATGGTAAATCAACTGGTAATCATCTACTGGTTTCAACTGGTAAATCAACTGGTAATATCAACTGGTCTCAGATGTCAACTGGTATTTCTACTGGTTTCCAAATTGTATCAACTGGTATCAACTGGTACCAGTTAAGACCATTTGAGACCAGTTGAGACCAGTTCAAACCAGTAGATACCAATTGGAAATCCTTACTGGTTTCAACTGGTATCAACTGGAATTTCGACCTGGGAAGCATTTTCGGGCATTGACAAAGGAGCAGTTTCCCTCTCTTGGGTTTTGTTTGGATGGTGTGCTCTGTAAAAGTGTCTTTAATAAAAGCATCACCAATGGGGAGCAGCAAAGTTCAAAAGCAGACGATTTTGGTGATATGAAATGTATTATTACTGATTCGCAAACTTTCGCACACACCTATGACCTTATATAACAATAAGCGAGTTCGTAAATAGCTCTGGACCGCATGACCCCGAAATATCCACAGATCTTAGACACGATGGATACTTCCCACCTGTGCATTTTAGAATAATCACTGCCAAAGTGATGGAGGTGCTTCATGAATACCTTTTGTTTGCCTCTTGAGAAGAATACTTCCACTTGTGTATCAGATAAATGTACTGTTGGTGCATAAATGAATACTGATTACATAACTTTCCGAGTATTGGTTTTACAATTTGGGTCCGAATGACCTTCATCTGTTACGAACTCGCTTATTAGAAGGCCATGATCTGTATCAGCCCTGTGCGTTGTATCTCTGGAATATTATGAGGAAATAGGGGGAAACGGGATTTTAAATCACTGCACATCGATTTTCCATGATTTAGGTAAGTAATTATCTTCTGCGCATGTAGATTAACATGTGTAAAATCACTATCGTGATTCTGTCCCGGCTTTTTGGCGGTGACCATGATGAGATCAAAGTGAAGAAACATTTACGGAATGTTATTGAGACGACATTGATGGAGACAACACAATGAATTCGTTAAGAAAACGATGAATGTCCATCCGTAATAGGTCTATGCTGTAATTTAGGGTTAGATTACCATTTAATCATCACTCATTGCACTAAGCGAATACGATTTACATGTAGGGTTTGCTAAAGAATGTATCGTATTGAACTACATATGTTGATATTGTCTTTTCAATACTGCAGAAACTGTTGGACAAACCGTGCTTTTACCAATAGCGCTTCACACAACGCATGAAGTTCCCTGTGTATATCCTGCACGTGCTGAAAGCATACTGGCAGTTTTTTGGCACAAAAGCTTTCATTCTGAGGAATTCGTGAAAGATGGAGGAGCAGTAGCATGGTGGTTCTATGGGGAGACTGGGAGCTTACAGGGATATAACATAACAGATGATTTTGCAATGGTAATGCGCAATGTCAACATTACTGATAGAGGCCTATACAGATGTCAGGTTACTCCACCTGGAAACGTTGATGATTATATACATGATGTCAACATTGAAGTTTATGGTAAGTTGTTGTTGTTGTTGTTTGTGTTTTTGACATCCAGTCAATGAGTGATTTCAAGTTAGGTGTTAGTGTTAGTGTTTAGAGCAGTCAAGAGCTCTTAAATCGAGCAAAAAAAATGCTGATGAAATTAAGAGCTCGATACCGATATCAATATTAATAGCTTAACACCATTGTGCGCACTGTAACTTTGCCACACAGACTTGATTTCAAGACGATGATTTACAAATAGTACATCAAAACTAAAGATATCATGAAAAGTACAGAATAAATTTACACTTATTTCTCTGGTCTTATAAAATAACACATTTTACACAAAAGAATGTATGGATCACATAGTAAAGGACCTGTTTCACATATTTGTATTTGATCGTCAGACAATTAATTAGCGTCGTTCGTGCATTGACTGTTGTGCGGGTACAACACTAACACCTAACTGGAAATCAACATTTGCTTGATCCCTAGAGGCTAGTGTTAGTGATTTGTGTACGTAAAATATTAACACCAGCCACAAAGGTCGGTTCAGCAGGCGACAATTTTGCAAAATCGATAACACTAGCTACCGGAAGTTGACGATATTCATAGGTCAAAGCCTTAACACCAGCTGATTTCCATTTCGGTGTTTCGGGCTGGTGTTCGTGTTTACTTAACACTAACAACAGCCCTAAACACCCATCTTGAAATCGCTCAATGTTGACTATGTAAGCCTAGTCTAGTTCTTAACTCGCGTCGAGGTAGTCGAGTCGTAATAATTCCGAACTTGGAAACTATGTGCGCATGTGCTTCGCTGGTCCACTGCTTGGGTGGGGAGTGTATCATCCCGGTCAACCCTGCTACGTACATTGAGCAAACTTGTCAATCCTTGCCACTTGAGTTCCTTGTTTTGGCCGATGTTGTTCTATCAAGAACGAGCAAAGGAAAATGTTTAACAAATTGTACATACAATTCTACAAAACAAATAGAACAGAAGTATGCACTGGAAATATAGACGGATATACAGTGACAAACATTACAGATGCGTTGACAGTTACACGAACCATATTACGTACATATAGTACCTCACTATAATACTTAATTATAACGTTCCCTGTGGAATTTTGTCTAGGACTATAAGGAATAAGAGAGAGGGGGTTAGAGGATATCGTATTTCTTTGTTTTTTTCGTACATATCTTAATATAATCCGTGATTCTTTTGAGGGAGTACATTTTCCAGGCTTAGTAGTGTATTCTTAATTCGTTGTCGTGTATACTTTCTCTGTCGAACTGTTTACAGTCAGTAATATAATTTGAATTTATTTTCTTCTTTCGGGGGGTACAATATAAACTAGAACCATTTGGATGTTTGCCCATTTTGAAAAGAGCTCAATCGATGGATTGTGCTTTCATCTGTTTTACTATGCAGGTTCAGTTCAAATGTAGGTCGGATTCTGGTTTAATATGATACCAAAATAAAAATTTTCACCTTGGTTTTGCCATTGCCTCATCGAGTTATCTTGGATTTTTAAGAGCGTCTCTTTACAGCTGGAAGGAAGAACAATTTCGATATCGTGTGTTATTGCTGTGTTGGCTATGCTGACGGTCTTCCCATTACCTGCAATACCACACTGGGATGGTATCCATTCACAACATACACTTCTGCCATTGTTTTCCATCTTTGTTAAAGTGTATATGATTTTAGACTCAATGGTAGGAGGCCCTTTTACATCAAATAAGTCCTTTAAAATGCTAAGGGGGTCTAAAAATATCACTGCTTTACTAAGTGTGTTTTCTTGAATCCACTGAAGAGCTAAAACAATTGTCATCTGTTCAGCGTGGAATATTCAATTTAATTCAATTCATTTCAATTCATTTATATATCTATTCAACCATCAAAATATAAATACAATCAAAATAAGTTAGATCAAAAATTTAGCAGAACATTAGTGATGGTTGGTGACCCTGGAGAAAGCAGGGCTTATAAAAGGGGCCACCAAATTGGAATACATACAAAGATAAAATGACCATCGAACATTAATATAAAGAAGGGAAAAGGAGAAGTACACTTCTTGCAGCAGCAGCAAAATCTATATCTAGATGTATATATGAGGGCAGATGGAAAGGAAGAGCGAACAAGAATATAAAGAAGTTAAGATTTTCCTGCTTAGCTTTTTGAATCTGGAAAGGGTTGAACTTGTTTTAATATCGTTGGGTAGTTTATTCCCTAACTTAGGAAAACGAATTTGAAATTAATTTGAGGCAACTGAAGAGCCAACCTGGGGTAAGTGTATTAAATTACTATTGACACTGAAGATTTACGTTTCGCCAGTTTTACCTCATATTTGGAAATGTACACGGCTGAACTTGTTTCTCATTCCTTATTCTTTGATCCAACTTTATATATATGTAGGTGTTCTGACTATTTTCCGTTTATGAGTTCAATTGTCCCAATTCTCATATCTTTGTTAAAAATTCTTTCTTTGACATAGTTTCTGACAGGTCAGTTGAAACAGTGGGGTGAGATTTGTAAAACCACGGAGAATATTTGGCTGGAATATATGATTCGATTGGCCCGTCTGGTCTGAGGGTCCACATATAAAAAGGAATTTCATCTTTCCAATGTAGGAGGCGATATTGCCAGCAATCCAGTAGACATTCTCTGGTAGGATGGTTTTGTCAGACGATTCGATGTTGACTCTTTTTTTTTTAGCTCATTAGAATCCGTCTGATTTTAAGCGGCATCTCTCCACATTCTATTTGTGATGTCGCTAATGAAGGGGAAAACGTTGTACCAGAGCATATATTTAGAGCTTGGAATCTGATGATATCTATTTATTTCGCATCCATAGTCCAATATAGATCTGATAAAAGAGTAAAATAGTACCCGTACCTTTTTTTTTATCTGCACCCCACCATGTTCCTGTTATGCATTTCAAAACATTCAGGCGCTGTATATATCTCGAAAATATGTTTTCTATGTGACTATTCCAGGAATGGTGAGAATCGAAATTCAAACTTAGGAACTTGAACTCGTTTACCACTTCAATTTATTTACATTGAAAAAAGGAGTGTATGCTTGGTGCAAGAACGATTTGAGAAAACTATGACTTTAGTTTTTCTGTAAGATTATTTGACTCCCCTTATGTTGCACCAACCGGTCAAGTTATTAAAGGGATCGTTTAACAATGTTAAATCTGAGATACACGGCCCCACGTATTATCAGTGACTGTGATATGGTGTAATATTGAAGCCCTAAAAAATTGCTCTTCAAAATGATCAAGAAGTGCCTCAAAAAAGTAAAAATCTTTGAGTGACCGGTTTTACCATACTTGCTTTCCCAATAGACTGTAGTGTTATGAAAACCGTTTGTCAAACGGTTTTCAAAATTTGTAATTCCAATCATAAATATCTTGATAATCAGACAGGCGATCGGCTTGTAAAAGCTTCTGACTGACCTAAAGGTTTATAATAATCATTGCAGCATGACCTAAATCCCTTTGAAGGGATCCGGTAACTTTGTTTCATTTTCTGAAACAAAATTCTGGATTTAGCTCATGCTGCAATGATAATTATAAACCTTTAGGTCAGTCAGAAACCCCATGACTTTTACAAGCCGATCGCCTGTCTGATTATCAAGATATTTATGATTGGAATTACAAATTTTGAAAACCGTTTGCCAAACGGTTTTCATAACACTACAGTCTATTGGCGTAAATGAGTATGGTAAAACCGGTCACTCAAAGATTATTATTTTTTTGAAGCACTTCTTGATCATTTTGAAGCGCAATTTTTTTAGGGCTTCCATATTACACCATATCACAGACACTGATAACACGTAGGGCCGTGTATCTCAGATTTAACATTGTTAAACGATCCCTCTAAGATCCAGTTGTAGTTGGTTATGAAGTTAAAGTTCATGTCTTGTTTCCATATTGCCACATCATCTGCGCATTGAAATAACTTTGAATGGCATATCGATTGGGGAAGGTCATGAACCAAAACATTAAAAAGGGAGGGGCTGAGGACACTGCCCTGTGGACTTCTGTTTGATTTAATGAAAGTTTCTGAGAAATTGCCATCAATTCGAACCTGGAATGTTCGGTTTGAAAGGAAATATTGAATCCATCCCAATGAGTGTTTGGAAAATCCCAAATCTAATAGTTTGATTAATAAACTACTTCTGAGAATGGAGTCGAACGCCTTTTCAAAGTCTATAAATGATGTTAATAGAACGTGTTTTCTGTTAGCCATAGCTTTAGCTACATCCGTGTCTAGATTTATGAGGTGGTCGAAAGTATTCCTACCTGTTTTAAAGCCACTTTGAATAGGATTCATACTGAGACTTTCAAATTACCCGTTAGGGCGGTTTTGATTCAATCTTTCCATTAGTTTGCAAATTACTAAAGTCAGAGTTATAGGGTAAACAGGGTTTAATTCCTTTTTAATAATTGAGACCACGATTTACTTATTTGTTATTTTGTTTTGTGTTTTTTCAGCCTTACCCAAAAGCTCTCCTACGATTAAATATGATCATCAGGCCAATGGATCTCATATAAGCTGTTCAATAAAAAACATATACCCGAGTGTCTCTCCAAAGTTAAATGTGCTCAGTGGTAGCACTACATCAGATGAACGGTCAGTCGTCAACAAAGATGGAACGTTCAACATGACTACCAGTACCTACATCCCATGCAGTGAGGAAGATTTGGCCGTAGAATGTTCATATTCTCACTTAAATTACGACAGTTCGTCTTTCTTGCGTACCCCCAGTTGTTTATTTAACGTTTCAGGTTAGTATTTCTTTTACATTATTAAAACGATTCAAACAACCAGAAATAAAAGTAATATAAGAGCGTCCGTTACTTCTTAAGGCGTTATTGCTGCCGAATAAATTATCGAATACATCCATGATGCATTAGTATTTCATCAGGGTGGCCGTTTACTATATTCTGGAATCATCTTTCTCGTTTATTATATCACTGTTTATGTTTATCCTTCATTCATCTAATTCACCCTTCCCCCCCCCCCCTTCCCTCATGGTTTGCATTTTTAGTTCAATCCAGAATTTGGGGGTCATACCCATCACAGACAATTAATTAAAAGAAATTTAATGGACAGAAATCATTAAAGCGTGGCATCTGCCATATGCTAATAAAATATCGCTTTTCAGTCGAGATTTTTCAAAAAGATAGTGAGGAAAAATCCAACATCATTTTTATTATGTTTATCCATACAGTTACCGACTTGAATAATAGAGATCCTACCAGGGTGCGCTGGATAGGATGGACGACGCTCGGCGTAGATTGCGTTATCTTTATAGCCATCATGGCCATAGCGTTTGGAGTGCATAACGGTGAGTATTCTGAAAAGATTTGTGATTTGACATGCAGCTTTATAAGAATGAAATGAATTACAGTTAAAAATTTACCTTTGTCTATTTACACAAGTAGTATGTGTTATCACCTTTTTAAACGTCATTCTCGATTTTCCTTTCCTTATCCCAGGTCTTTTGAGTTTCAGTTGTCTCCATCACACCCAGGAGGGTGTTCGTCAAAAAGATGTGCAACGCATGAACAAAATGCCCCACTATGCAGCACTCATGGGGATAGCCCATGTAATCCTTTTCATCTCGGCAGTCATCTTTCTGGCAATAATCTAAAAAATAGCTTAAAGGACCCATGACATCGAAATACAAGTGTATTCCTGTTGATGTGCAGTCCTGCATACATTTCATGTTTTGATATGTAAACTTCTGAATTTTTTTATAATAGATTTTTTAATATATTTTGAAATATTTGTTTTTCAAACTTGCTAAGCTCCACCCCAAAATCCTCCAGATCTCATTACCCTTGTGACATCATCTGTCAGTCATCAATGAGCTAACTTGAGAAAGTGGCATTTAACTTTGCCAAAGCTGACCACCTGGTACAATACCACAAACAATAGATAAATTGATAAACTGATCAGACTTGTTAATCAGTCAGCCTCTCTTATCGATGATATATACACTACTGTATTTCATTCTTTTTACGTGTATATATATATATATATATATATATATATAACATCACTTTCCCATTTATAGTATTTCATGTCATACTGGAACTTTTTTGTTAGCAACTGTAATAAACGTAGATATCGCAAAGTAACACATGACAAATTAAAATCATTTACATGTGCCTCAATGAACATTGATACATTTGAAAACGTTGCCCCATTCCGGGATTTAGAGAAAGGGATTGCAGTCGTTTAGGAACTACCTTTACGATAGTAAACAAATTGCGTGTATACATGATTTTGATTCAACCCTCAAATAAATTAGTTTTGGTGTGCCCGCTTCTGTTAATTTTATGAAGGATATATTGTATTTAGGACAGCATATCTTCACCATTTGGGTGTTCATTATCTAGACAAGAAATTAACCTGGAAAGTTCAAATAGAATGTCTTCGCATACCGTCTTCGAGAAATTCAGCCTGAGGGGTAAGGAAACAGTTGAAACCGACTTTGAATCAATCCATGTTATGCTTCCACCATAGTCTACCTTTATCGTGCCTTTAATATCTTAGTCAATAATATGTATATATGTATCTGTATGAGGGAACGGCTTTATAGTCCTTATGGACAAAACCAATGTTGTACAGGAAGGAATTGTAAATATAGAAAATAATGTTGAATTCAGTATGTACTACACATGACCCTTTCTGTAAATGTAATATTATACAGGTGCTCAAGATAATTGATTTGTGATTCTACAATCTTGAAATATTTAACGTATACATTTTTCTAAGGTAATTCACCAGATGGTTCCGTAGTAGAAGATATCGACTTTCAATGTTATACACTCGTCCGCTATTATCTTAATTGTGGATGTTCCTTTTTCTTCCTCCCCATATTCTTCTTCTTCGTTCTCTTCCTCTTCTTGTTGTACTTCTTCTTCATTTTTCTCCTCTTCTTATTCTTCCTCTTTCTTCTCTTCTTTCACTTCTTCTTCTTCCTCTTCCTCCTCTTCTTTCACTTCTTCTTCTTCATCTTCTTCCTCTTGTTTATCGTATTCTTCTCCTTCTGTATCATCTTCTTATGGTATTATGCTTTTTCTTCTTCTGTGTATTTACGTGTACGTATTTTAATTTTCTTAATATTTTTGTCATGTAGCACGTAACGGCCACGGTTTCATTGTTATCTATATCGTCATCAATTAATGAATACAGGTATGTTACACTTTTTATTTTAGTCTTGAGCAATATTGTGGTGATTTCAATTTTATATTCGGTCTTACTTTATTCCCAAACATATTTTGGGGTACATTAATTCTTTACTCGAATGGTAACTGAAAGCGCCAACTGCAGCACCCCGCTCCCCGGTGACCATAGGCCCTACGTGTTTACTGATCATTGTAATAATATAACTACATAAAACAATACAGAATCTGAATCAAAATATGAGAATGTTTGGGTTATGATGATGTTTCATTGTAATATTGTATCACTTACCTATATATCCAAACATACTATCACCGAATGATGAAGTTATAAAAATGGAGAAATAATTTTTTTTTTCTTTGTATTACTTATATTTAATAGGAAATAAGCGTGTGAACTTTGTTATTCTTTTCATAAAGCCTTTGGAAGTAATACTAAAAGACACTAACCCAGCAAAATATTTATGTCTTGTAATTGAATATTAGTTTAGGAATCCAAATGATAACTTTCACTTGTAAAAGTTTACTGTGTACATTTCTACCATTTTCTGCATTTGTATGCATCGTTATGTGCTTTTAAATTGTATTTGATGGCAATAAATGAATAAATAAATACACAAAATAATAACTCTACAGAAAAAAAACTATATAAATATTGTAGAGATCATACACTCTTACAAATATCGGGTAAAAATGTTTCATGAGGGTATTTATGTATCTGCCCAACTTTTGACAGTTTCTTGGTTAATATTTTTGCCCATTTTGAATTAACTATGGTGTCTTTCATTCATGAAGAGGCTAACGAAAAAATGAACAAACCTGGCTTGATTACGTGTGTAACAGGTGAAACAATGAGTAATAATGGGCTCACCTTTAATGGATATCGGTATGGTAAAGAATGTTTGGAGGCAACCACAATGAGGGAGATAAGGACATACATTGAACCATCATACATTTAATAATCATAGTTGATTAGTTAGTTAGGAGATATTCATAAAAAATCAATTACAGCTCAAGACATCAAATTGCATGAAAATGGAAAAGGATCAATCGAAATGTGCATTCATACTATTTAATTATAACAGCTATTGTAGACATCTGATAGCACGGGCCAGAAACTTGGAAGGCCAGGGAGAAGAGAGAGAGGGGGAGAGAATAATAGAAATAAAGCAAGAGAGAAGGAAATGGAATGTCATATAAAAGGTGAACAAAAATACATGTTAAAGGGATAGTTGAGTTCTGTTTTCAGACTGCAAATGCCTTCAAAGTGCATGGTTATTGCTCTTATTCTTATCTATGACATTTATAGTGCCCTTTTAGAACCTAAAAATGCTATGAAGGTAATTTTAGACCCCAAAATGTGTGAAATTTAGCCAATACGATCATACCAATTCAGCTCCACTTTGAGAAAAAAAACACGGTGACCGTTAATTAATTATTTAATTAAAAACAACAATACATGAGCCGGCTAATTGTGGGTAATATAAGGAACATGAAAATGCCAACAAAAAAGCCAACATCGGCATTGACTGAAATACGACGTAAAAGGAGTTATTTCGAGTTTTTTTCAACGGTTTTTCAAACTTTTCAAAATATCTAATATTTGTGGTGGTACACAAGTATTAGAAATCGTTATATTTCAGCCGTCTCTGAACCGATGTTGATCAAACAAAGATGATTTTGTCATTTAAATATTATGTTTTTTCAATTTTGACACTCAGTTTTTCATTATCTCACAAGAAAATTAGTTTGTGTAGCGCCCTCTGCAACAGAACTCAACTATCCCTTTAAGGCCCTCGTAAAAGAAAATGAGGAATAAAATGAGACTCATCGGTATCGTGGTTATAACAGCACCTTCAGAAAGAGAGAGAGAGGCGTAAGTCAAAAGGTGAAGGGAGAGAAGGAGAGGAGAGAAAGCGAGGGAAATGGAGAGAGGGAGAGGTTAATGTCAAAAGGTGAAGTGAGGGATAGAGAGGGGAAAATCGAGAGAAATCGAGAGAGACTAAAGGACAGGAGGCGAAAAGAGAAGAGAAATACGTTAGATGAAAATCAGATATTTAAGGGAAAACCATACAATCCTCACAAAATAAAATGCCTTACAAGATGATGTAAAAGTGAACGTAGTTTAGAGTCATACATTTTTGGAGAGAATAAAGAATTGAATCAGGTCATTTTCATTTCAAATATGTACCAGTGATGATATACACCATGTACCCTACTATGAGTCGTGAAAATGAGATATCATTAACCTACCATTTTTTGTTTAACCCAAAGTAAAACAAGAGATAAATATAATAATAGTCATCGTTATCATGATTATAACATGACAAAGCACCATTAGAGAGAGAGAGAGGAAAGGCACAAGGTTATTAAGGGGAGGATAGAGATAAGGGAAAGCGACATAAATGGAGAGTGAGAGAGGGAGAAACAAGCAGCGATCACATGTACCAGGGAAATACAACACAGCGAAAGGATTGCGCACAGGGAAAAAGGAAACGCGAGTAAGTACATTGGTATCCGGTGTAGCTGCAGTATGTAGCGTGCAATTCATATCAAGCGAAAGTGAAAGTCAGACAGCGTCAGACAGAATAGATTAACATACATTATGTTAATGTCATGACTGCAATCAACTCTCGTTCTATTCCCTACAGAAAATGACGTAGACCTTGCACTTGAGCCGGTTTACAGCAAGTCACACCATGTGAAAGCTGTTATGTAGCCCGTACCAGTTATATACTAAAAACGTGTTATCAACATTTTTTTTTATAGTTATGGATGCGAGGACCGGAGAGTCTTTTCCTTCCAACACATGATCCCTCGGATGCAAAGGGGATGGGTGGGGGCACAATTCCCTCCCCAATTCCCTCTTTTCAGAATTTGTTGTAATTTTTCATATTTTTATTCATCGATGACGGAATAGCTTCGTATCATACAGGAGTTGTATAAAAACAAATTTGCAACACTTATATGTATGTCAAAAATTCATAACTTTTTCTTATTTCTAATCGGCCATTATGCTCATACTTTCCCTGAACTGTTTTTCTCTTTTTCCGGCTTCTACTAAGGCCGAGATATTATCAGGGTGGACTTCCCCTTTACATGTAAACCTCCTCTTCAGCAATAGTATTATAAAATGTCTTTCGAAAAGATATGAATGTTTCAATCCCCTTGGCTTTACAGAATTATTTGTAGTTATAACGTAGAACATCTTTCGAATTTACAATTTTGCTTTTTGGTATTAGGTCGTGATGGTTGATTATGGGTAAACTTATAAACAACATTCTTTTCTCTTTTTTTAACGGTCACAGCATTTAATTGCATGAATATTCTTCTCATCTACGATGTCAATTACATATTTCTTCTTTTTTTCTTCTTCAAAGTTTTCGCTGGTGCTTTTTTTTTGTAAATTGGAACCACAATCAACAGATCAACAATATACAAAAATTATGTCATAAAAGGCTATCATATTTATTGCGTCGTTATAATGATTCTACACAATTTTGTTTTCATTTTCCAAAC